GCGCCCCACTAAAGCCGGAGTCACACTGATGAGATGATACAGAAGGTGATCTGCAGACACTGTCTGACACTGTCTGGGGCGTGTTTCTTCCTTGGTCACACAAGAACTGTCTACAAATATCTTCGGAGCACACCTATGTACGAAGCAAACACGTTTCGTGCATGCTTGAGGCGAGTCCGCGGACAATAGTGTCACTGTGTCTGCAGCGAATACGCCGTGTCTTTTTTTGTGAGATGTAGCGGGACTGCGGCTGGAGAGGTCACATGACGCTCGCGCTCCACTGGATTGGCTCCGATGGCTCGTGTATCCCGTCTGCTGCGGTCCACTGTGACGGTGTAACGGAGGGGCCATTGTTGCGGAGGCGTGACGAAAAGATGGCGTCGCTCGGGCGCGGCGCACCTGACGCACGTGTCACGGAGCGGATCGGCGGGAGACGCCGATCACTTTTACGTAGAAGAGTCGGAGGAAGTGGGTCGGTCGTTTCCGCGCACAAAGCGTCGCTTCCCTGACCCGACGACGCTGCACGAGGCGTATAGTCGTCGCACCTGCACGCGTCTTCCCGGGTGGCAGTCAGCTGGGGCCGACAGTAATTCGACTTTTTTTTTTTGGCGCGTTCCCACGTTGAGTTGGCGGCATTGGAGGCGGCAACGACTTCTAAACGAGACTTTCTTTCTTCTTTTTTGTCTATTTAGGGAGTTTTTTGTAAAGGCTCGTTTGCTTTCCCTGCAAAGCAAACGGGCCTTGAAGTTGCAGGGGCGTTGGCTGCTTTCCCTGCAACTTCAATGGAAGGGACAGTCAGTCGCTGGCATTATCAGTGACTTCCGAGTGATAGCCAATTTAGAGAAGAAATGTCAAAGGTGCCAATCAGCTGGCGATGACTGTTTCTGTCCGTGTATGTTAGGGGATGTTCATTAATAACGCATACTCAAACGCTATGACCCCTCCCCCCCCACACACACACACACGTGCGCGCGCACACACCCACACGCCCACACGCACACACACATAAACACACACACACACACACACACAAAATGACGAGAGAAAGAGAGTTGCACCAACAGGGAATCGAGCGGTTCGGAACAGATCCGCTCGAATCAGTCTCCTCCTCCGAAGGTACGTATTCCAAGTTGGTCTTCTTTTTGTCTTACTTTTGTGTTCTGCTTCCCATGCAAGATCAACTGCTAAACAAAATGGCTAAGCAAGAATAGGTACCTCGGGAAGCGGAAGCGTTTAACCATAATGGAGTCTATGCGAAATGCAAGTTCATCCGCTTCTTTCACAGGGGTTGCAGTGATGTGAGAATACAGAGCTCTGATTGGTTTCGATTGGAAGCATAGTGGGTAGACCTGAAGGCAGATAGCATTGGGGTCTACCCACTATCCTTCCAATCAGAGCCGATCAGAACTCGGCGTTCTGACGTCACTGCAACCACTGTGCAAGAAGCAGACGAACTTGTGCTCCGCATGCGTGAGTGCTTCTGGTTTTGTTCCTGACTATTCTTTGTTCCCTCCCCGTACTTACACGTCCTGATGGAACTGAGACCCACCACGGAAACGCTCAGCGTGCAACTGTGCTCGCAAACACTAGAAAAACACCTCTTTGTTGACCCAGTCATGGTTCAACGGCACCACCTGTTGGTAAATACGGTTGTTTGTTGTCGGTTCGTGACACGCCGGTGTGAAGCACCTAGAGGTTGCAAACAAAGTGCTTTTGTCGTGCCCGGGAGCTAGCTTTGTACACCCTTCTCCGACTGAGACTCTGTCCTAACTGGAGTCGGTATGACTGCAGGTGCCGGAGAACAACACAGCGGCGGAGCAAGGCACGGCACGTCCTGGAGCGCGGAGTGTGTAGACAGCTGCTTATGAACAACACGTGCAGTGCGACGTTGTTCCGGGTGCTGTTTTTGTACGCCGGCGAGTGTTCACCTGCCACTTCGTGTCATTCAGATCCGTCCATGCCACGCCATTACAGTCCTTATGAGCGTTGTCGTTGTGAAGGTACCCCCATGTATTTGACTTATACGCGAGTTTCGTATACGTAATTCTTTGGCAGCAAGTGAAATTTTCCTTCGCAAAGCAAAAAATAAAATAAATGGTACACGCGAACAAAAAACGGGAGGCAGAAAGACACGCGTGTTTGTGTGCGGAGAGTCTGGGATCTATGCCTGCGATTAAACTTAATTATTGAATTTTGAGGCTGCCTATGGACTATTACGATTGCCCTGTGTTTTGTTTAAACACGGAGTAGAAACTTGGCTCTAAAGACGGCTCGTAACTACACCAATGTGCCAGGGCCAAGGATGTTACTTGGCGTCGTATTGTTGCTGTTATCGAGTCATAAAAATTGAAAACGACGGCATGCTAAGTTTTTAGTGGTGGCGGAACAACTCACAACGCGCAAGCACGTTGACCGAGAGAAAGCTGGAAAATAAGTATATTATAATAATTTTTACTCAGTGGTTTTAGGCATTGAACTATGAGTGAAGAAAAGGGGAAAAAAAAACAGGATGAATATTTTAAGAAGGGCTAGAAAAAAAAGAGTCGCAAATGGAGAGAAATGGATTGTATTTTAAGATATTGACAAGACACCGGCATTAATTGGACATCCAGCGAAAGTGGAAAACAATACACGTATGCTCAAACACATGCCTTATTCGGCTAAGAGTTCCAACTGTTCATGTAGCCTTTTTCTTTTCTGAAAACCTACAACCTCGTAGCTTTAATACTTCTTGTTTCTTAATTTTTGCCTCCCCACGCAGCGTAACTAACAGAGGCGATTAATCCCCCTGCGTGGATTAACATGCCCTTGTAGATCGACGGTCACCCCGAGAAAACATGGGAAAGGCTACGAGCAGCGTGACGAGCGGATAAGGAGAGGAGGGTCTATCGCCGAAGATCGATGTTCCGGGAAACCTGTCAGACTTTCCAATAAACAGCGTCGGGGGTCGGCCCAAAGGACGGCCTGCAGCATTATCAAAGGTAAAGCCGAGCCAAATTAGGTTCGGTAGAAAGGCTGCCAAATTAGGTCCACCGAAAGACTGGGAATAATTTTAAAAAAAAATAATAAAGGTACTGAAATCATAGAAAGGTTATTTTCGTAATAATATGTTGTTGACTTTGACCCTGGCGGACGTCAGTGTACGAATGAAAAGTGATAATTAGCAGTCCAATGGGCTAATATGTCTTACCTTATTTATTAATTCGTGTTTTAGACAGTCGCTTTATCAGGAACATTTCAATTCGAGATTTGTTGCGCGTTGTCCAAACATGCAATCACTCTATAAAGAAAGCCCGTGCGTCTACTTTCCCGCACAACACTCCGAGAACCAATCAGCGCAACTTACGGAGGCAGCTCAGCGAATAACGATGCCAAAACATAAGTTTAGGCCAAAAAACACAGTCTGAGTTGTGACATATGCAAGCGTGACGTTTTGCATTGCTTGATGTCCCAACTCGGAGTGCGTTTTTCGGTCTGAACATATGTTTTTGCATCATCCTTCGCTGAGCTGCCTCCGTAAGTTGCGGTGATTGGCTCTCCAAGTGTTGAGCGTGAAAGTAGACGCACGGACTTTTTTCAGACGTACTGCAACCCGTAAGGTACAAAAAAAAAAAAAAAAACACCTTTTCCGGGTTCTTGAATGGCGAAGTTAGGCCGTTTAGAGTCTGCCAAACCGAAACTAAACCCGTAGTCCCACTGCTCGTGTACATCCTACAAAAAGACATGGCGTCCGCTGCAGAAACGATGACAGAATTATGTGCGGACAGGCCTCGGGCATGTTCGCTCCGCACATACATGTGTGCTTCGAACACGCCTGCAAACTGTTTTTATATCGACAATGTGACGGGACCTGGAGCGAGACGCGCCTTTTCTGTGCCCACGCCAGCCTTTAATAATGGGACGCTGTTAGATCGGCACGTGATGCGCTGCGTAGGCTGACGTCGCATCCGGGCACTTTTGCCGTCTCTCTTTTTTTGCGTATTGCTTTCCGTATTCCATCTCTTCGCAGTTTGAATTTGCCCCAGAGTAGCACGAAGCGGCATTTAGTTGTCCGAATTCTGACAGATATACAGCATATCTCGATGTTGGGCAACAAATCTGCAATGCAAATGTGCTAGCCGAGGCGTATATATTTCAAAAGTTCATGAGATAATTTTGGGTGACTGATTTTTCTAAATATCACTTCACATTCGTAATCTGACTTCCGTCGCGGTCGATAAAGTAATGTCGAAGGAATCTTTTCTTTATTTCGAGGGAGTTTCTTTTAATTGCTTTAAGGCGTTGGCGAAACGTTCAGTACAATAAATGCGTGGGTTGAGAAAGACCGCACCTTTACACGCGGGTGAGTCAGCTCTCGTGCAGCTAGAATTGACCGTTTTCAGGATTACAACGTTGTGCTATGGACCCTTCTAATAATCTCGTTCCGCGTGTTGGCGTCTTTGTGAATAAGTAAGCGGCGTTTGGCAACTCCCGGTTCCTTCGGAAATTTTGTTTCACTCTTAACAAACGGCGACAATGAGCTGCAAGCCTGTGCAAGCATGGTTCTGAAACATCCAGATTGTAGCTTTCACAATAGTTTGTTGTTGGGCGAGTTGGTGAACGTTTGGATTCATGGTTTTGCGCAAAAAAGACGGACACAAGAGAGAGAAACAAACACGAGCGCTCGTGTTTGTTTTTCTCTCTTGTGTCCGTTTTTTTTTTTTTCGCAAAAGCATGAATCTAAAGTGGCTTTCAGAGTCATGCTTAGAAAGGCATGCAAATCATCGTCGTCGTTTGTCAAAAGCTAAACAAAATTTGATGAGGAACCGGAAGTTGCTAAACGCCGCTCACCTGTCGAGCTAGGCGCACGTGCGCTCACCTTCCAGAGACTACGCATATTTCGTGCTTGAATGATAAAGCTTTAAAAGGACGTACGTACCTCCGTGGTCTCTCCGTCGCAATGTCGCGGAAACCTCACGTATTTAAACATCAGATGGTGACCACAACGAAGAGCGGCAAACAAAAATTAAAAAGGGCTTTATTGCGCAGCCTTAAAACGTTGGCACTAGCGCCGAGCACACAATGGATCCGGGCTATGAACATGGGTTCAAAGATGTAAGAGCGCTTCTTGTAACCTGCTTCAAAAAGGTAGAGGCAAACAAACTCTTTACGCTGCGACAATTGCCATGGAAAACCCACTCATGCAACATGTACAGTAACCCGCAATACAAAGCGGAACAAGGAAATGCCCGTTGAGTCAAACTGGATGTTGACGGAGTCTCTACCATTTGCGTGCTGCTTTGCAATGCATCCCGTTTCCTGTCTCCTACGAGTAAGGGACATCATGTTGTTCCATTGCGTTGTTACTTTGAACGCAGTCACTCGAGGAACGTATAAAAGGCACATACAGGGCCCTCCGGCAAACTCCAACTTGGTTTAAATTGCTATGTTGGCATCGCAATTTGGTGTAACATCCATCGTCACTGAAGCACTTGTCATATTCGATAGCAGATATCCTTTAAACTATGTTTGGAAGTACCACGATGAGAAGTTCTATAAAAGCTAGCTTCCTTGGAAGCTTCGCACGCTAACACGATAACAAGAACAATCCAACGGCTTTCATTACAAAAAAAAACAACCTTTAGGAGTTTTTGAATAGACCGTTCGTCAGAGCAATGTATTTGCGATGCCCTTCGACCCACGAGATCACGATATAAGGCGTTTTCAGTTGCAACCAGTTTTCCCTTCCCACAATTTATTTTTTAACGCTTCTTCAAGTGGTGACGGGTAAAGGCAGTCTACTATAGGCGTTTCAAATACGGTTCTGTAAAGCTGCACCAGCCAATACAAGAAGCCGGTGGACGGTACGCCTGCCCTCCAAAAGGCGCTTGTGACAGTTTCAGGATTTGTTTTGTGAGCCTATGGAAGAACCAAGTGCATGTCATTTTGTTTAAGGTCACGTAAAATTATTTAGGTGATATCGCCGCAACCATGTTCAGTGAGAATAAATGAAAAGAAATGCCTCTTCCCCCATTGCCAGCAAACTCTTTTCGGTATTGCAGAAGAAGCAACATTGGCGGCCACCATTTTTCTTCATTTCCAGAGAGTAACATGTGATTGAATTTGACCCCGAAGCCGACGTAATGATTGGAGTAATACTCTACCCAAACGCTGACATGTTATTTGTAGTCAATACGCGCTGAGACATAACGAATGTTGCGCCCTTAAATATTTGGCACAGCGGCAATTAGATGGCGCACATAGCTGTAAAAGGTAAAGGTACCTTGTATCCAGACATGCTACATTCAAATTACGACGAAGGGAACCAAGAGCGACGCTAATCAATATTGTTGGTTCTTTGATTTTTTTTTCATCAAGAAAATTTAATGAAAAAACACAAGAAATGATTTGATCAACCGAGTGCTCACTATACTCAGACATCACTTTCTATACGAATTACAATAAAAATACGCGCGTATATTTAACAGTATTGAAGTAAGAACGTTGCTATCGGGCACATCAAATGGCTGTCTAGGATACAAAACTATAAAAATCAAATTTTTAGACTCAAAACTAACTACAGCAATGATGGAGAAATACCTGCGTTTTGAGTAAGACTATGCATAACTTAAAAAGCCAGAATAAAATTAATTCTGACTGAATAAAAAACAAATCAACTACGTAACATCACACGCATGACCGTGATTGGTTTCACTGACGCATGTTATGAGACATGGTCTAGAATGTAGTGCTCACGCACCTCCACTGATGCCGTTCCCGCGATACAACGGTAAGATAACAGCGCAGAACTCTTCACTTGAGTGGAAAACGCCATAAGGACACTTAAATTTTGCGGATACAAATTACGCGGATTGGAGGCAATGACACTGTCTTGATTGCCGTCCAAGACATTCAAACGCCAGAGCCCAAGAGCGACTTTAGGCTCACTACAACAACGGCACTGAACACACCGGCACAAGCCACACCGCACCAAACTCGGAGTCATCGGGAGCGAGAACTTCACCACCGGGCACCCTTTGCCCCTCAATCACCAAGGCCTCCAGACCTCCTCTTGTACACCTTCGACGAGGTCCTCAGCACGCCGAGAGACTTCACTCGTCGTCGACGCCGAAAAAGAAGAGGACGTGGACGACACGTCGTCGTGCGTGGGAGAACGAGGCGTTCCGCCGCGATCCTTGTCGCCGGGAGACGGACAGGGGTCTTCGTCGGAGAAGGACAGTTCGGCGACTCCGGCGCCGGTCATCAGGTCGCGTGGAAGCACGAGGATGAGGTCGCCGTTGCGAAGCCGCTTGGGCCGAACGCGCACTCCTGCCACGGTGGGCAGGGCGGTGGTCTGGGCCGCTGCTGCCTGGTCGGGCGACTTGGACCTCTCGACGGACGTCGCGTCGTCGCTCGAAGCTGGAATCGAGAGTCGAAGTGAAAGGCGACATCTTATACGATTGAACAATTAGATAAACTAAAAGGAGTTAGGAAAAAAAAAGTAAATGTGCTTGAGTTAAGAGAGCACGATGAAAAAATAGCGCACAAAAAGACGAGGACATGGGCAAGAACAGAACAGAGGATAGCAAAATGTACTTTGGCGGTTCGGGTACTATTGATGCAGGCAAAAGCAGAATATCACTAAGGGTGGCGACCTACTAATCTTTTTTTTTTATTATTATTACCCGTTTTGTGCATAAAGAAGATCTTATTGAAATAATACGTGGCGTTATGCGTTACAAAGAAGAAAAAAAATATCTGACATTATGGCATCATGGCGTGAGTTGTATGATATACATTCTCAAGCACATAAAAAAAGTATAAAGTCCCGCACGCACAGGTCAAGAATGTCGACGCTACGACTGAATGTCCATTTTCCAGAAGCTCTCGATAAACGTTGCAAGTTGAGACCTGGGCCGCTTTGCTCGAAACAAAACGACTGGGGTCTCGTTTAAGTATGAAAGTAAGCGCTGCCAAAGCTAGCGGACGAGTGACGTAGGACGTGAAGATCACATCTGATGCCTTCAAAGCCCAGCCTTGGAAATACTTTATTCAAGACTGTCCTACAAAGTCCGACGGGTTTCATTTCAAGTAAGCGTGCCGAAACCCTGAAGTTTTAGGCACACCCCTCATAGTTTGTTTCGCCGTACGAGGGAGCGAAGCCGAAACTACAAGCACGAGCATGTTGCCCCGAACCATAGCCTCCTCTATTAGCGGCGAGATGCTTTGGTGGCGCCCTCCTATGGTTCCCCCTTGTGACGTCACTACCTTGCAAACAGCAAGTTCGATGGTGTTTGTAAATAGCATGGTGGAAGCCTGAAATCATTGCGCTCTCAAAGGAACACTGCCAACACCGTCAAAATTAAAGTTCTTTCATTCCTCTTATTTCCGTCGATGATAAATCCCCTTTCCTACGTCATAGTCAGCGTTCGGCCAATCGTGGAAGGCCGACCACAGCGACGCTTACGGTCGCGCACAGGGCTAATACTCACAAAGCCTGGCAGTTCGATGACGGAGCCAAAGAGTGCTTGGTCGCAGATTTGGAGCGCGAGGATCTAGTAGCACACAGCATTTCTCGGAGAATCTAGGGTGCCTACATGTCTGTATGTCTCAGGGTGAAGACATCCGTTGTTGCCCCGAATGTGCCAGCGCGTGACGCTCTGGCGCACTCGGTGCGTGACTTGGGCGGTAAAATGGCGTCTATGCATTAGCCAAAGCTACGCGCTCGAGCTGAGTGACACCGGATTGCGCGTACTTCAAAATGCATAAAAAAACGATTGGGCGGAAAAATGGCTGAGATGTCACCACTCAAGTAAAAGCGCGCGTGTGTATGAAGGCACTCTAGGAGAATCTGGTATTCAGCGCACAGCTTTTGCAGCGGCGAGGACCCGAAACATGGTTTTCAAACCCGACGAGAAAAGAAGCGGTGCCCGAAGAACGCAAGAAGCACGAGCGGACATTCCATCGCTCGGGGCAAGTGTGTTTCGGCGTCTCGCCGCAGCGGGGCGCCCGTTACACGACTCTTGTCTGCCGGTCTACCTTTTCACTTTCGGCGGTCGCGTCACGTGACAATCTGCCAGGCTTTGTCAGTATAGAGGAGGCTATGCCCGAACCATCCCGAACGATGGTCTCATTGGACGAGCGCGCGTGTTCAAGCAGGCCTGCGCACTCTGCAAGCCCGGAACTCTCCCTCGGTTCTTCTGCTACCATCGCACTTGTATAGTGAAAGTTCGCGTTGCAGAGCCCAGCGATCCTCGGTTCAATATCACCCATGCCCGTTTCGATCTGGATGGGCTAAGTACCGGCGTGCGGCTGTGTATCACTACTGGGTGCACTGCACAGGCAAAACGTCATATTTACAGCCGACGGCCCTCCGTTGTCCCAACAGAGGGTCATCGGCGCTAACTTTCCGCCGTCTTAACATATACACACATTTGTACGGTTCTCAATCCAAGTCATAAAATCACTTAAAGTCGATTACTTCTTGGGGTAATTATGTAATAATTTGATTACATATATTAGGAAGTAATCGCAAAAGTAATCTGATTACCTTTGGAAGTACTAAAATTGCTTGTAATCGTTACTGTGTTTCCCTCCTCTTCCTAACGGCGCTTTTTGTTTGTACAGGTTTCCTAACAAGAATCCTCGAACAAGTTTCTGACCGGAGAATGGTTTATCAAAATTGGTGGATTAAAATAACTCGTTCATAGTTCGGTGACTTTAACCCAATACAGAACAGTACGAAACACCCACTGCTTTCAAACCGGCAGAACAATTTGTCGTTTTAAAATCTGAAGTAATCGCGAGAAAGCGACGGTTACTTTTTCAAATAACACCCAATTACTTTTCTTCTGTGACCAAGTAATATAATTAAATATTTTTAACTAAAAGTAATTGTAATCGTAATTAATTACTTTTTCCCGAGTAACATGTGCAGGACCGCATGAACACAGAACAAAGTTACTTTTACTTGTAGTAAAACGGAGTATACGTGACTTGCAATGATGACGCATCAGCTGCGCTTGTGGTTGCCTTGCTGCTGGGCGCAAACTTTTTTTGCAGCATCAATTGCACACCACCGAGTTTAGATTTTCTCGGCAAAAGCAAGTAGAAAGTACCACCAGCACGGTGCGATAACGTCTATAGCTTTCAAGTGTCACCATTGCTGGGTACTGAAGGTTATTTGTACTTCCTGGTTTCTTCTAACTGTATGCAACTTCTGCGGTTTGAAACTAACACGGCGAACCGGACGCTCGCGGCGCATAAAATACAAGCACGGCCGCGAAAGACGTCACATGCAAGCTATCTATAGGAGGCATTCGCCGCAGTCAACACCACTTATAATAAGAATAGAGGCCCATCTCACACGGACTGGACGGCTCGGGGCTCTGCGGCACCACGTCGTCGAGCAGCGAGGCCAGCGCCCCGTCGGGGTCTTCGATCTCCCGGGCCCGTGCCTGCAGGTGCGCCAGAACGCGGTCCCGCACGGACACCGGGTCGGCGCCACTATTGGTCAGCAGCTGCCGGTCGGCCAGCGAGCAGAGGAACCGCCGCGTTTCCAGGATGCACTCCTCGTAGCCCGCGCGGAACTTGTGGCGCACCTCGGAGTCGTCGAGTAGCCGAGCTGGGCACGCGGAAGGGCAGATGAGGGCGCCAAGTGACATATACTCGTGCGCAGGATTCATCGTGAACGGCACTGAAAAGCTATTGAGTGAATACGCGATTTACAAACTACTATATAGTCACTGACGGAGAGAGAACGGTAGGGTGTGTATTTTGAACGCCCGGCATCCCAGCACGCGTTCTATTCCTTCCGCTGAGCGGGTGCGCTCGAGGTGCACCATACACCGAAGCCTTGTCGAAGGTAGGCGAAGCTCACGCTGGACCAACAACACCACGGCCTCCGCACGCGTCATGATAGTCAGATCGATCGAGGCGTGAGATTGGGCACGAGTGCTGTGTCAGCGTTCGGCTAGGGCTCGGGTCCAATCAGCGCGTCGAAGGTCGGGCTCGGGCCTAATAGCCGAGTTGGCGCAATCCTACTCTGATGATGTTTCATAGAGGGAAAGGAGACTATCCCGAGGCCTTCTGTCTGCGTGGTGTTGGTGGCTGGACGCGGGACAACATGAAGATCCTCCACGCCGTTCTCAACTTACAGTGACTATGCATCATACATGTGCAGGGTGTTTCACCAGCGACTGAAAATAATTGAAGAAAAAAGGAAAATATAATTAATGAAATGAGACCTCCGAGACAACGTCGTTGATCACGACGGGCGTCGGGTAACGAGATAAAAGTGACAGTTATAGACATAATTACCTAAAATTCGCTTGTTCACTTTTTGTTCGTCTTATCTCGCACATTTTAATTAAATATGTGTTGTCCGTTGAACGAATATATTATAGTATTTGCTAATTGTCAGAAAACTAAGTTCTCCGCGCATACAAGCACAATTAGTATTAAAAGTAACACCGAGCGACTTTCCTTAGTAAACTAAAACGTAAACATTTCCATCATATCGCACCTTTTTATCGCCTCCTGGCTGTAGACTGGACGGTGTCACCATGGATAATTCAATTAGTCGTCCCTGCCGTAATAAAGGCCCGCATAAAGTCTTGACTCTATGGAGTGAATCTCTTGCGAAAAAATTATAATCGGTGACCGGCCACAGTGCCTCTACAGCCGCGCGCAACGCGAAGGTGCCGCCGGGCGAAGTTCGTCGGCCGTTTGCCACATATTTGCTAGCGCAGTTAACGCATCACGTTTATTACAAGCAGCGTTAATGACTAGACAGTTTTAGTATAGTGGTTCTGGCTCTTGGCTACGCAATACGCAATGGTATAGCGTACGCTAAAAAAACTACCTGCTCGGACCGATTTTAGTTGGGCTTTCCGTAAACGTTGCCAAGTGGATATCTCGCATGCTCTTCGCCACCATGCTCCCCAAATTATTTATAAAAGAAGTTTCCAATCATTTTATTTCAAATTAAGTCAAGCCGCTGCTGGTTGGTTAAGGTCTCTTCTCTGTGGGGTACGGATGCTAAAAGTACGATTGCGTTGCCAAATTCAATTACCGTGCCTCCGTCAATCGTCCCATTGAAACGGCACCTTTTATCAATGCTATCGAGAAAAGAAATCCATGCCCTACTGATGTCCAGTGCACGGCGACAACTTCGGCGATTTTTTGAAGAGTGGCTCGTCTGTCAGCGACGAACTGTGCGAAAGTCAAGATCGCAGCGTTCACGGATATTGCGAGCGGAAAGAAACGCCGAGCTGAACAGCACGTGACTTTACGTAACACTGAATTTCACGAAAACCATGTCGTCCTTGCTGCGCCGGTCGAGGTAACCGCCATCTTGAAACTGGTGCTCTCGCAGGGCCCGAGATTTCTTGAGAGATTTCCGCGAGGGGCCCGCAAAGCCCGCTAGCCCGTAACGCAAAATCTCCAGCGTAGCGTGCGTCAGCTATACGCTAGCCCTTCTATTACGTTCTGCGCATGCGCAATTTCGACCCGAAATTTCGTTGCGTACGCAAAGCGTTTGCGTAAGGTCCACTGAAACTGCCTAATTACTGTCGTGCGAGTTCTTCGAAAAGTCCGACGATACTCCAATCTCGCCGGACTCTGATGTTATCAAGAATGGACTGTGACTTTTGCAAAACAATACCGATTTAAAACCATTCCAGTCAAAGACATCTCGTCGGTGCCATCTTCTGAGCTCGCACATACCTTGCTTCGACATCCTTCTAAAGGGACGAGCTACCCAGTACTGGGATACGAATTTGTGCATTTTTTTATGTTCTGTTTATATCGACTAGCAGCGCGAAGACAGCGCCACTCACAGATATTTCGGCAAGGCGTTTTGTAACATATTTATATTTTTTTTTTTAAATGTACACTGGTTTAGGGAAAAAAAACGAATTGTCGTCTCACCAGTTCTCCTTTGTCGATGCAAAGCCTGCAGGTGATTCACGGTCATCTCCAGGATGTCCGCCTTCTCAAGTCTCGCGTGCCGCGGGGACTGCGCCAGCAAAAAGCTCTCCATCAGAAGTGTCAGACACTCAGTTTCCGCGACATAAATTTCCAACTCCGCATTTACGTATTCCACGTCTTTGATGCGCAGCACCACCGCCAGGATTAAAAGGTCACGGGCAGATTTTAGATGACGTAAGATTTGTCTCGCATGGAGACAGCGCACACACGCTCCTTTTGTATAGTGGTTCAGAGAACACGGGTTCGTGTTCGGATGGTAGCAGTGCGTGCGTACCGAAGAAGGGACACTGTCGTTCGATAGACCCATGTGTTAATCGACAGAGCAGTTCAAGGAAGCTTAGTCATGTAAAATGCGCAAGGCTGTTAAGCGAAGCCATAGTTTACTTAAGTTTGTTACCCTTATAAAAACTTTCAACAGCACTAGTCATTTTCATAATATCCTCTAAATTGTAAAACACAGAAATAAACAAAAAGACTGAAAATTTCTTATTTGTGCTAACTGTGTCGGATTCTGTAGAGCGCAACGCGCCAACTCCAGATTCCAGAACGATCACAGAATGTCAGTTGTGTGCTTCGGTCGATTTTATCTTGTGAAAATGAAAGCAACAGCTTCCTCTATCCCCAAAGGTTCTCAAATGGGGGTCCGCGAAGGCATTCTTGGGGTCCGCGAAGCCCTGTCTCATCAGTGAAGCCTGGAAATAAAATGTGTTGTCTTGTTTAGACTGAGAAGAAACGTTCCAATTTTCGGGTGAGTTTCCTCGTGTATGTCAATGAGAGAAGCACACTACCCCTCAGTTATATTAATTTATTAAATCATTATCATAATGATATATATATATATATATATATATATATAATATATATATATATATATATATATATATATATATATATATATATATATATATATATATATATATATATATATATATATATATATATATATATATATATATCATAAATACCTTTCCCTTCCCCTTACCACGAACGGGGTCCTCCACCATTCACGCGAATCCACAAGAGATCCACGAAATATCAATGCATGAGAACCACTGCTCTATGCCATATTTCTGAAGCATATACGGTCAGGGCAACCTTGCAATAACGTTGGTAAGCCGAAAAAAAAAAAGAAAAGCTATTCGTGCCAATTGTACGGTTTAGCAAACTGTTTAACACCACAAATTCCATGGGGTTCGATCTACCTAGTTTATTTATTTTAAGGAGCTATAAACCTGCTAAACATGAAGCACTAAAAGAAAGAAAAAAAAAGCAGCATTGTCAGACGCATTATGCGCACAAACAGTGGCGGGACGTTTTATGTGCCAGGCAAGCTTTCTCTCGTTCCCCGTCACTCGTTTAATTTATTTGTAGCTTGCAACTTTTGGTTCAAGGCGCTAATAAGACAAACACGAGAGAGAAGACAAACACCGGCGCTGCTCACAAAGTTCTGTCTCATTAGCGCTTTCAATCATGGTTCAAAACATTCATCGTCAACTAGCCCAACATATACTTTTGCAAACGTTGTAGCATTTTGTCATGATTGTAAACATGTAGCTTTTACTGCTGTTCCAACGTGCTCACTATTGTTGCGACTTGCCGAAAGAGCATGTGGATTCTCTGTGTGATTGGGTTAGTCGAACTACAGTGGCCCTAAATTATCCGTTTCAAACCGACGCCAATATTCCAGAGCAAGATAAACAACTCGTTATATATAGGCATGCACAGCGTTCAATCTCGTTTACGCACGGCTTACAGTGCAGCCTACCTCTGGCTTCGATGAGTCCACCAGGAGAGCCTTGAGCTGGCTCAGGCAGCGGTTGATCCGGGCTCGTCTGCGCTTCTCCATCAGTGGTTTGGATACCTGCAACGGCATCCGTATTCATATTTGTTTATTTAAAGTGCCCAACAATATTCGCAGCCCTCCCATTCGACAGCTATTTAGTAGCAACGCACGAATGTACAGAGTGTAGCAAAACAAAACGGTAACTTCAAACACTTAATTTGGACGAATAAACAAAATATACAAACACTTTCTATGTACTGACAAGATTGATAAGAACGGCAGCGAGGTCTTCCAGCTGTCCCGCCCCCAACGGGAGTTTCCGACATTCGATGGCAGTTAGACATCTCGCGTGGATCGAGCGTGTACAGGCGGTAAGTGCATGACGGAAAGCAACGAGAGAGGAAAAAAGGCACCCTGCGATTCCTGTCCCGTTATTGGCTATGACCACATATAAGACGAGGTCACGGATAATATCGATACGACAGAAGTTCGGCGCGGTTTTCAATGTGTTGTACTCGGTCTACCAGGCGTATACTGGAGGGGACCACTCGGAGTACTGGGGTCAAAGGCAAGACGGAATGAAATGTTTAGCGCAGTTTTTTTTTTTTAGTCATCGGTCCAGCCAGATATTTCAAGTAACTCCCGAATCGCGTCTCCAAAGAATCATTCTCGCTGCTACCTCGGAGGGCACGCGGAATGTGGCTTTAGGATTTGTTTCACCGTAATAAGTTGCAGTACGCCATATGCAGCATAATTCCTGTAACATATCATTATTATGGGAGCCGCCATATTGTAGGATTCTTACCATTTTTTTTTACCTGACGATGAGGCGCGCCTGCATTAACCTCTGTTTTCGTAATATTTGGACAACAACGTATTTGTACACAGCGCGACACTATTAGCGCAAACAAGCGATCATCGTTTTTTTTTTTTTCTTTGAGAATTGAATGGATGTCATCAAAACTACTACTGTGGTCGAAAATGCTCGTTCTGTGAAAAAACCTAAGCGGTAAACGCTAATGCCCACCAATGCCTTTTAGAAGTAAAATGCGAAAAAGTGCCGATGTCATGTTCGCGCCAACAGCGTTGGGCACGTAAGTACATTCAATGCGTTCGTGTTTAGTTTCGGTGCGATGAAAATAAAAACGGCCGTGATATAGAGTAAAAAAGACTATCAGCAAGAGGTCGCAAGAGACATCACAAAAACGTTTCTGTTGGTGTAAGTATACATTATAAGCCGTTTAGGTCACCATTTTATATTTTGCTCGTTCATAAGGTATTGCTATCGCTTATAATCTGCGTAACATTAAAAAAAGACGCAGACGGTATGCGTTTGACTTTGTCCCAAGTAAATTACGCTGCAGCATACATTAAGCTGTTCATCGCACCACGATCCGGTTCCGAAATGAAATAAAGGAGTCCTCTTTCAGTACTAGCCACCAATACTGGTTTACTTGGCGTCCCATTCTCAAACGCGATGAAATGGGGCATTTAGTTAAAGGAGCTGTGCAACGATATTCCATTGGAATCTTTTTCTCTCTACACGAGCTTACTGGCACACCTGGGACTCAAGGATACTCACACGCAACGCGATTGGCCAAGAAACGCCTTTGTTGCGGTGTAATTTCAAGGACAAAAGCGATCATTTTCATTCAATCTCTCCTTTGCAAAATTTGATGACGTAACGTGGGGATCGCAGTACACCCAAGTGACGATATTTGAATGCGGTTCATAGATTGGACCCGAGCATTGCGTGGGCACTCGACTTGGGCTCGTGACAATTGCTAGCTCGAGAAGCATTCGGGTTGTGACCCGTGTCCAATCGCTGCAACGACGACAATAGCCGAGCCATAACAATGTCTGGAACTCAGCGCGTGTCCTGCGCTTTGCCAACCCCAGCTCGTGGCTATGATCAACACTGGCGGCATATAATCGGCTCCAGATCACGTGGCCGCTTGTTCTGGCTGCGAGTTGAGGGGGTGAACGCTGCTCGTTTTTCTTAAATTTTTTTCTGGGACTTCTATTGCGTGGGGTGAAAAACGAACGCGTGTTTCATAGGTCATTAACGTTAGGGATCCGTTTTAAGCGGTATTTGTGCACAGTACAAAAATTGTTGCTTTGCTCCTTTAAGCGTACAGTCTTTATCGCTGCAAAAAGGGTTTGGCTCGAACTGCCATCGAAGATCATATTTTAAATACGACTTTTTTTTTTCTTTTTGCCGCAGTTACTGTGTCTTGGGCGAAAGTAACAATACGAGAGCTATCCAACATGACGAAAACTTGATTACTGAGAGTAACCGCCGAATTCAGAAACCTCACTCAAACTACACTCAAACTGAAGGGCCCCTCCACTTCCTCAAAGAAGGCGCGAGGGCCGGCGCTGGTCAATCGCGACGGCAGATCCGCCGTCGCGATTGGCCAGCGCCGGCCCTCGCGCCTTCCTCGAGGAAGTGGAGGGGCCCTTCAGTTTGAGTGTAGTTTGAGTGAGGTTTCTGAATTCGACGGTAAGTACACCAGATGGCACTTCGTTTTTGCCTGTGGTTTAGAAACACTGGTTTGGTGAAGGACGACAGCCGGTGACAAATATGAAGCCCACGGACACGTTCGTCCGACTACAGTTACGCAGCCCAAGGCTTTCTACGCCATAAGAGCCAGGGAGCTGCCAAAACAAAGGCAGCGGTGTTCGGGAACGCACAGGGCGTATTTTTTAAGAACTGGCAGTTTCGCACTTCTAGGGTTTTTCGTTGCTTCTGTAAGAATTAAAAAAAGTTCGAGTCAACCTTGAATGACGCTTGAAAGTAATTCGGTACCAAGTAGCGAAGGATGTTGTAAGTGTTTGTATTACGCTGTTGGCGGAAAATGAGTGACAGCATGCAATCTGAAGTAGCGAATTAAAGTCAAAGTTTGTGTGAATATTGGTAAAACGTGTCAGCGAACTTTGGCCGATTAACATTGGCTTTCGGTAAACAAACTCTATTTAACACGCGCTATGAAGAAATGTAGTCTTTTTGAGTGGTACAGGCGGTTAATTCGTAGAAGGTCGGGAAGATATGTGGACATGGGGCAAGAAGCGGGCAGCCCTTCGCCGGAAAAAACAGGTATGTCTATCTCGACAGTCAAAGATCATGCTTGTGTGTTTATTTTTATTAGAAGAAAATATTCCACTGCCAATTCTTGCACGATTACAGAAGACTAATATACATGTTTATCTGAGAATGTTGACACGGTTACAGGAATCTGCTCAAAGGAAGAAACCCGAACACTGCATGGTCTGACAACTAAATTCTTTGCCGTGGCAATGGCCCTGCGCTTGATGTGCGTTAAGACTTAAGATTTAACAATCTTCTGCCAAATATATTCTTTATAAAAATGAACCATTCGCCATATTTATATAACTCAACCCCGTACAGTTTCCGGCTCCTAGAAAAATTAAGACTGCTCTCACAGGACAAAGAGTTGTTGCCATTTATGACATCCAGCGCAACGCGACAACGTTACTTCAAGGTATTCCGAAAAATTAATTCCAAGAATGTTTCTGGCAATAACAGCATCGCTCCTCGAAGTGCGTCTTCTTACAAAGTGCACACTGTCAGGTAAGCAAACTTCGCTCTAGCGAGGCTATTCCGAGAACTAATGTGTCACACCTCATAGACTCTACTGCAAAAGTGAATGTATAGATACATATGTGCGCCAGTTCGACAATAATGACTGTGAGCTCATTCAATGAGTCGGGACCTCGAGTGATGTTCTCACCACACTCGTAACGCGTGCCTGTTTTTATATCTTGTTTTGTTTAAGATCGTTCGAAAGGGGCATCATGTTTTCGTCGCTGTCTTTCTTAGACCGGCAAGGTGTAAAGGCTTCACCTTCATGACTCTACCCTACAATATCGGTAAAGTTGGACGTTAGGAATTAAAGTGGCAAGTCATTTAACCATCATATTTTCAAGAAGTATTCTAGACGGTGCGTTCAGTTGAATATTACAGCCGGCTAGGAATAGCATAAATTGTCGTCAAAGGCGCGTGTTTAACTACACGTGGTTGTCTTGCTGTCTAAAAGAGAAAATTTAATGGATGAAAACGTTGGTTGATAATAATCAGTCGAAGTTCCGGAGGAGAGGCGTGGTGCAAACCGATTATTTTTCTTTAAGTGTCGTATCCCATTGACAGGTATTTCCAGGCAGTGACCAACTGTGCCCGTTTCAGTACATCGGTAAGCTTGGATTGCAAGTTGCCGCCTTGCTTGCTTGCCAAACTGGCGAACTCTCCGATTCCTGGATGAGCTTTTATACTTTGCGCATCTTAAACGTTGCGCGAAGTAGTTCTTACGAAATTTGGTTTCCAGAAAAACAATCGATGCTTCTCACGTTTGAAACGCTTATGATTTAATAAAATAACAAATGACTCATCTTAAATGCGCACGCAAGTATCTTAATTCACCACATAAAATGGGAAATTACTCGCCCTCCGCGATGAGCCGAATTTTTTTTTCCCCCTTGAGAACCTCAAGGGGGAAAAAAAGAATTCGGCTCATCGCGGAGGGATGCTGAACCGAAATCTGGATTCCGCAAAACACGCGGCAAAAGCGTGCAATGGGATGCTACGAACACCAAAACATCACTCATACAGCGATATCTCGAACGAATGACCATATTAAAAAAAAAAAAAGAAAAAAAAGAGGCGCCTTTTGCAGGAATGTTGACGTCATGTTTCTCCGAGAAGGAGAGGGTACGGCCTCGCGCCTTCTCCGCCTCGCGGCCTTGAGGGAGCGAAGCGAAGAAAGGAGGAAACTAGGTATCTTGACGGTCACGCGCCTCGTCGGCCTGGTTCAATCTCGACTTCTTTTTCCAAAAATACGGCCGTCCATTTGAGATATCGCCTTACGAGTAGTGTTGTAGGGATTGTAGCGTCCCGCCTACATCTCCAGCATTGTTTTTTGAAATCCAAATTTTGGTTCACCCTCCCTTTAAAGGGAAACTTCGGTACATTTTCACAATTTTAGGGTTACGACGGGCATTCATAAAGTGTCCCTAAATTACGAAATGTACGTTTTCTTTTTGTGCTTTGTGTAGTTTTCCAG